AAAATTCGACAAAAATACAGTTTCTAGCTAAAATTTGATGGTTTCGTTGCACTTTCCGAGAGCGTAGGGTATCTGATTGGCTTAAAAGTACAAGAAAACACTTCAAAAGTGACGTTTCTGAAGAATTTTAACAGTTTTCTTGTATCTACGAACGCCAGAATGCATAAAATTGACCTAAACGTCTCCTTTTCCTATTCTGAGTCGATTCTGCATGCTTTAAGTGTGTTTGGTGGCTCAGAACCATCAAAAAACGTTGAAATATAGTTCAAATTCAATAAAAATCGACAAAAATACAGTTTCTAGCTAAAATTTGATGGTTTCGTTGCACTTTCCGAGCCCGTAGGGTATCTGATTGGCTTAAAAGTACAAGAAAACACTTCAAAAGTGACGTTTCTGAAGAATTTTAACAGTTTTCTTGTATCTACGAACGCCAGAATGCATAAAATTGACCTAAACGTCTCCTTTTCCTATTCTGAGTCGATTCTGCATGCTTTAAGTGTGTTTGGTGGCTCAGAACCATCAAAAAACGTTGAAATATAGTTCAAATTCAATAAAAATCGACAAAAATACAGTTTCTAGCTAAAATTTGATGGTTTCGTTGCACTTTCCGAGCCCGTAGGGTATCTGATTGGCTTAAAAGTACAAGAAAACACTTCAAAAGTGACGTTTCTGAAGAATTTTAACAGTTTTCTTGTATCTACGAACGCCAGAATGCATAAAATTGACCTAAACGTCTCCTTTTCCTATTCTGAGTCGATTCTGCATGCTTTAAGTGTGTTTGGTGGCTCAGAACCATCAAAAAACGTTGAAATATAGTTCAAATTCAATAAAAATCGACAAAAATACAGTTTCTAGCTAAAATTTGATGGTTTCGTTGCACTTTCCGAGCCCGTAGGGTATCTGATTGGCTTAAAAGTACAAGAAAACACTTCAAAAGTGACGTTTCTGAAGAATTTTAACAGTTTTCTTGTATCTACGAACGCCAGAATGCATAAAATTGACCTAAACGTCTCCTTTTCCTATTCTGAGTCGATTCTGCATGCTTTAAGTGTGTTTGGTGGCTCAGAACCATCAAAAAACGTTGAAATATAGTTCAAATTCAATAAAAATCGACAAAAATACAGTTTCTAGCTAAAATTTGATGGTTTCGTTGCACTTTCCGAGCCCGTAGGGTATCTGATTGGCTTAAAAGTACAAGAAAACACTTCAAAAGTGACGTTTCTGAAGAATTTTAACAGTTTTCTTGTATCTACGAACGCCAGAATGCATAAAATTGACCTAAACGTCTCCTTTTCCTATTCTGAGTCGATTCTGCATGCTTTAAGTGTGTTTGGTGGCTCAGAACCATCAAAAAACGTTGAAATATAGTTCAAATTCAATAAAAATCGACAAAAATACAGTTTCTAGCTAAAATTTGATGGTTTCGTTGCACTTTCCGAGCCCGTAGGGTATCTGATTGGCTTAAAAGTACAAGAAAACACTTCAAAAGTGACGTTTCTGAAGAATTTTAACAGTTTTCTTGTATCTACGAACGCCAGAATGCATAAAATTGACCTAAACGTCTCCTTTTCCTATTCTGAGTCGATTCTGCATGCTTTAAGTGTGTTTGGTGGCTCAGAACCATCAAAAAACGTTGAAATATAGTTCAAATTCAATAAAAATCGACAAAAATACAGTTTCTAGCTAAAATTTGATGGTTTCGTTGCACTTTCCGAGCCCGTAGGGTATCTGATTGGCTTAAAAGTACAAGAAAACACTTCAAAAGTGACGTTTCTGAAGAATTTTAACAGTTTTCTTGTATCTACGAACGCCAGAATGCATAAAATTGACCTAAACGTCTCCTTTTCCTATTCTGAGTCGATTCTGCATGCTTTAAGTGTGTTTGGTGGCTCAGAACCATCAAAAAACGTTGAAATATAGTTCAAATTCAATAAAAATCGACAAAAATACAGTTTCTAGCTAAAATTTGATGGTTTCGTTGCACTTTCCGAGCCCGTAGGGTATCTGATTGGCTTAAAAGTACAAGAAAACACTTAAAAAGTGACGTTTCTGAAGAATTTTAACAGTTTTCTTGCATCTACGAACGCCAGAATGCATAAAATTGACCTAAACGTCTCCTTTTCCTATTCTGAGTCGATTCTGCATGCTTTAAGTGTGTTTGGTGGCTCAGAACCATCAAAAAACGTTGAAATATAGTTCAAATTCAATAAAAATCGACAAAAATACAGTTTCTAGCTAAAATTTGATGGTTTCGTTGCACTTTCCGAGCCCGTAGGGTATCTGATTGGCTTAAAAGTACAAGAAAACACTTAAAAAGTGACGTTTCTGAAGAATTTTAACAGTTTTCTTGTATCTACGAACGCCAGAATGCATAAAATTGACCTAAACGTCTCCTTTTCCTATTCTGAGTCGATTCTGCATGCTTTAAGTGTGTTTGGTGGCTCAGAACCATCAAAAAACGTTGAAATATAGTTCAAATTCAATAAAAATCGACAAAAATACAGTTTCTAGCTAAAATTTGATGGTTTCGTTGCACTTTCCGAGCCCGTAGGGTATCTGATTGGCTTAAAAGTACAAGAAAACACTTCAAAAGTTTTTTAATAATAATAATAATAATAATAATAATAATAATAATTTATTGTACTCAACAGAGATTAATCTCCAATTACAGAATACAAAACAAAAGTAAAAAAGTAGTCTATCTTACAAATAAATAATTAGATACAACGTATGCCTGCAAATATATCTAAATATCAAGAAAAAAATAGAACAATAAGTATAACTCATTATAAAAAAGAGTAGAACAAAATTCTGACGCTCTGTAATTATGTGTTGTGCTGTAAGTGCCTCCTGGATGCAAAATTTGTGATATCTGTCTGCTTACAAGTAAATATATCATATATATAATGGAAGTTGTTCACGGCATTACAAATGTTGTTAATAGGAGAGTATTTCATGAGATTGGTCCTAGCTCTGCTGTTGTATAAAATATTCCGCCTTCTAACCATAACCGTTGAACAACTAAAATTAAATAAGTTTAATAAATATGGACAGCTGATGTAATTATTGAGCAGTTTTACAAAAAACCGCACATAAGCAGTGTTTATTCGATCGGCAATGCTTAACATGGAAAACTTCCAGAGCAACTCTTCTTGTGGAAATCGACGCGGTGGATATATATGAAACATTTTAAAATTTAAATACTTTAGGAATCTTCTTTGAACTCTTTCTATTTCCATAACATAAGTACTGTAATGTGGATACCACACAATTGCCGCATACTCAAGTTTGCTCCTAACCAGAGAATAATAGAGCAATTTAACTGGTGTTTCACTTTTTAAGTCGGTACAATTCCTAACTATAAAACCAAACATTTTTAGTGCTTCCGATATAATAGTATTAACATGATTTGTGAAAGACAGATTTTTATCAAAAATAACGCCCAGATCCTTTACCTGAGATTGTCGCAGAATAATGTTGTTATTGAGGGTGTAGTCAAAGTCTATCAAAACTCTTAATAAGGTGAACGATAAAAGATAACATTTCTTATAGTTTAATTGAAGAAGATTCTTTGAACACCACGAATGTACCTTATCTAGGTCCGATTGCAAAACTAGACAGTCTTGAATGCTAGTAATGCGACGATATAGTTTCATATCGTCAGCGTACAGAAGAACAGAAGATCTGATATCATTGACAACGTCATTTATAAAAATGTTAAAAATTAGGGGCCCAAGAACAGAGCCTTGAGGAACGCCTGAAGTAGCAGTGAAATTGGATGAACGAAAGCCACAACATTCAACAAAGCATTTACGTTCAGTAATGTAACTAGTGAAAAGTAAATATAATTTTTCAGAAAAACCGAATTCTAAGAGTTTTCGCAGCAAAATAGCATGGTCCAAACGATCAAATGCTTTTGAAAAATCTGTGGACACAACATCAGTTTGATAGCCATTGTCTAAATTGCTAGCGAGATCTTGAGATATGGTCATTAAATTCGTAACTGTGGAGCGGCCTTGAACGAATCCATGTTGGGCATCACTTAAATGATGTTTAATCTGGTAATAGATAGTGTCATGCAAAAGAGATTCAAAGATCTTAGCGAAATTATTCAGAAGAGAAATAGGACGGTAGTTCTCTATGACCGACTTGTCATCTTTTTTAAAGAGGGGGATAATTTTGGATACTTTCCAATGATCAGGAAAAGTTTGTGTTGACAGTATTATGTTGTAGAGGTATGTTAGTGGCTTAGAAAAAATTCCGACGCAATCTTTGATCAAAAAAGCAGGAATGGAATCGGGACCCGCAGTGTTATTGGATTTTAAGTTTTTTATTTTTAAGAACACTTCGTCTTCAGATATTTCAGTGACAGAAAAGTTATTGTAAGACATAGAGTTCCTGTTGTTAACTGGGCCAAAAATATTCGATGGTTGAAAAGTTGATTTAAAATAATTAGCAAATGAATGCACAATTTGATTACCTCCAGAGACTGTTTTATTCAAATAAGTCATATTGCAAGGGACACCCGAGTTCCCTTTCTTTAACTTCACAAATTTCCAGAATTCTTTTGGGTCCAATTTTATGTTTGATTCAGCTTCAGCCACAAAATTTCCGTAGGCTACTCGAATTTCTTTCTTGACAAGCTTCCTGTATTGTGTAAATTCCTCACGATCGCTAAGTAATCCTGATTTCTTAAATTTCTTCCATAATGAATCCTTTTTCTTAATTAACTTAATAATCTTTGCTGAAAACCAGACAGGATATTTTAAGGAACGGGGTTTGGTTTTGGGCACAAAACGCTCCAAAATTGAAAATAGGAATTCATAGAATGCCTGACAAGCTGAATTAGCATCATGATATCTGAGTAAAAAATTCCAGTCAGAAAGCAACAGCTCACTGTATAGTTCCTGAAAATTAGCTTTATGAAAATTGAAATAAAAAATTGTGTCAGGGCTTAATTCTTTAGGTGATTTTGAAATGTGCAGATTATAAGTCCAATTTAAGGACGGATGGTGTAAGTCTTCATTTACTAGAGGGTCATTTGCCTTAGAGATGGTAATACACTCATTTGAAATTACGAGGTCAAGAATTCGATTAAGATTATTTGTAATATTATTACACTGATGTAAAGAAAGAAACGTGAGGAAATCCGAAAGGTGTTTGACAGATGGTGGTAAGTCCATAGAGTTAATACAACTGCTGTATGCAGGTAAATTAAAATCTCCAACAATAAATACATTTGAGTCATACAAATAATTACATTGGCATAGAGTTTCAAATAGCAAAGAATATTCATTGGTAGATAAGGCAGGGGGAATATAGAGTAAGAGAAGTTGAAGAATGCATTTTTGAAAATAAAGTTTGATGCCAATTAAGTCGATCGATGGCAGTGACGTTAAATTTAAATTACTTAGATCTAATTTTACGGCCCTTATAGATGAATTAACGGCTATTAAAACACCACCTCCTCTAGAAACTTTTAATGTATCGTATTTCCTATCTGAACGGAAAATACGATAACTGGGAGGAAAAATTTCATTATCTGCTATACTATCATTAAGCCACGTCTCCGTCAGTAGAATTATATCATAAAAATTATCTGATACATTTAGATAAAAACTTGATAATTTAGATCTGAGACTACGAACATTCTGATAATAAAAATTTAATATATCAAAGTGGCTAATGCTCAACGAATTATTTAGTCAAGAAGACGAAGAAGAGGATGGTGGCAGAGGTTCCATTAAAGTTTTGGGAGTAGCTAAAGAGATGGGTATGTTGAACACATCCTGTTTAAGTTTAGCTAGGGCTAACTTGTATGCAAAGCATCTATTATAGTCCCACACAGCATGAGATGTATCAATATCAAGATGTTGGGAGTTACGAAGATGAGAACAGTTTAAACAGCTAAATTTTGTTTTATCTTTGTTTACGAGGCAGTCCTTGAGTACATGAGATTCAGAACATACAGGGCACACAGGATTTTTCTTACACTGACTTGAACCATGGTTAAAGGCATTACACTTGAAACACCTCAAAACTGTAACAGCGTCATACACTGTGCAACCATTGAGGCCTATAAGTAGATGACCTGTATCTAGAAGTTTTTTGTAGGAATCAGCATCAACTAAACATTCAGCTTGAAGAGTATTTTCAGATTTGGAAGTAGACCAAATTTTTTTAACTTCACAAATGGAATCTTTATGAAACAAATGCGGATTTTGAGTTAAGGCGTAAGTTGCAATATCATTTTTATCCAAACCTTCGGGGATACCAACAAAGCGTAGGCGAGGTAGAATGAGAGGTGTTTTTTTAATGTTGTAAGTATCGGGAAGTTTATTGCTGGCGATATCTAAGAGTTTCTCGCTGTGAAGTTTATTTGCACATTTTATTACAAGGCCGCCATTAGATACAGATTTAACGCTACTAATTTCAATATCTGAAGATAGAGGTTTAATAGAATGGAGAACATCTGACTTGGTTTGTTTAACTGTTTGGGCGTGACGTTTCTGAAGAATTTTAACAGTTTTCTTGTATCTACGAACGCCAGAATGCATAAAATTGACCTAAACGTCTCCTTTTCCTATTCTGAGTCGATTCTGCATGCTTTAAGTGTGTTTGGTGGCTCAGAACCATCAAAAAACGTTGAAATATAGTTCAAATTCAATAAAAATCGACAAAAATACAGTTTCTAGCTAAAATTTGATGGTTTCGTTGCACTTTCCGAGCCCGTAGGGTATCTGATTGGCTTAAAAGTACAAGAAAACACTTCAAAAGTGACGTTTCTGAAGAATTTTAACAGTTTTCTTGTATCTACGAACGCCAGAATGCATAAAATTGACCTAAACTTCTCCTTTTCCTATTCTGAGTCGATTCTGCATGCTTTAAGTGTGTTTGGTGGCTCAGAACCATCAAAAAACGTTGAAATATAGTTCAAATTCAATAAACATCGACAAAAATACAGTTTCTAGCTAAAATTTGATGGTTTCGTTGCACTTTCCGAGCCCGTAGGGTATCTGATTGGTTTAAAAGTACAAGAAAACACTTCAAAAGTGACGTTTCTGAAGAATTTTAACAGTTTTCTTGTATCTACGAACGCCAGAATGCATAAAATTGACCTAAACGTCTCCTTTTCCTATTCTGAGTCGATTCTGCATGCTTTAAATGTGTTTGGTGGCTCAGAACCATCAAAAAACGTTGAAATATAGTTCAAATTCAATAAAAATCGACAAAAATACAGTTTCTAGCTAAAATTTGATGGTTTCGTTGCACTTTCCGAGCCCGTAGGGTATCTGATTGGCTTAAAAGTACAAGAAAACACTTCAAAAGTGACGTTTCTGAAGAATTTTAACAGTTTTCTTGTATCTACGAACGCCAGAATGCATAAAATTGACCTAAACGTCTCCTTTTCCTATTCTGAGTCGATTCTGCATGCTTTAAGTGTGTTTGGTGGCTCAGAACCATCAAAAAACGTTGAAATATAGTTCAAATTCAATAAAAATCGACAAAAATACAGTTTCTAGCTAAAATTTGATGGTTTCGTTGCACTTTCCGAGCCCGTAGGGTATCTGATTGGCTTAAAAGTACAAGAAAACACTTCAAAAGTGACGTTTCTGAAGAATTTTAACAGTTTTCTTGTATCTACGAACGCCAGAATGCATAAAATTGACCTAAACGTCTCCTTTTCCTATTCTGAGTCGATTCTGCATGCTTTAGTGTGTTTGGTGGCTCAGAACCATCAAAAAACGTTGAAATATAGTTCAAATTCAATAAAAATCGACAAAAATACAGTTTCTAGCTAAAATTTGATGGTTTCGTTGCACTTTCCGAGCCCGTAGGGTATCTGATTGGCTTAAAAGTACAAGAAAACACTTCAAAAGTGACGTTTCTGAAGAATTTTAACAGTTTTCTTGTATCTACGAACGCCAGAATGCATAAAATTGACCTAAACGTCTCCTTTTCCTATTCTGAGTCGATTCTGCATGCTTTAAGTGTGTTTGGTGGCTCAGAACCATCAAAAAACGTTGAAATATAGTTCAAATTCAATAAAAATCGACAAAAATACAGTTTCTAGCTAAAATTTGATGGTTTCGTTGCACTTTCCGAGCCCGTTGGGTATCTGATTGGCTTAAAAGTACAAGAAAACACTTCAAAAGTGACGTTTCTGAAGAATTTTAACAGTTTTCTTGTATCTACGAACGCCAGAATGCATAAAATTGACCTAAACGTCTCCTTTTCCTATTCTGAGTCGATTCTGCATGCTTTAAGTGTGTTTGGTGGCTCAGAACCATCAAAAAACGTTGAAATATAGTTCAAATTCTATAAAAATCGACAAAAATACAGTTTCTAGCTAAAATTTGATGGTTTCGTTGCACTTTCCGAGCCCGTAGGGTATCTGATTGGCTTAAAAGTACAAGAAAACACTTCAAAAGTGACGTTTCTGAAGAATTTTGAACAGTTTTCTTGTATCTACGAACGCCAGAATGCATAAAATTGACCTAAACGTCTCCTTTTCCTATTCTGAGTCGATTCTGCATGCTTTAAGTGTGTTTGGTGGCTCAGAACCATCAAAAAACGTTGAAATATAGTTCAAATTCAATAAAAATCGACAAAAATACAGTTTCTAGCTAAAATTTGATGGTTTCGTTGCACTTTCCGAGCCCGTAGGGTATCTGATTGGCTTAAAAGTACAAGAAAACACTTCAAAAGTGACGTTTCTGAAGAATTTTGACAGTTTTCTTGTATCTACGAACGCCAGAATGCATAAAATTGACCTAAACGTCTCCTTTTCCTATTCTGAGTCGATTCTGCATGCTTTAAGTGTGTTTGGTGGCTCAGAACCATCAAAAAACGTTGAAATATAGTTCAAATTCAATAAAAATCGACAAAAATACAGTTTCTAGCTAAAATTTGATGGTTTCGTTGCACTTTCCGAGCCCGTTGGGTATCTGATTGGCTTAAAAGTACAAGAAAACACTTCAAAAGTGACGTTTCTGAAGAATTTTAACAGTTTTCTTGTATCTACGAACGCCAGAATGCATAAAATTGACCTAAACGTCTCCTTTTCCTATTCTGAGTCGATTCTGCATGCTTTAAGTGTGTTTGGTGGCTCAGAACCATCAAAAAACGTTGAAATATAGTTCAAATTCAATAAAAATCGACAAAAATACAGTTTCTAGCTAAAATTTGATGGTTTCGTTGCACTTTCCGAGCCCGTTGGGTATCTGATTGGCTTAAAAGTACAAGAAAACACTTCAAAAGTGACGTTTCTGAAGAATTTTAACAGTTTTCTTGTATCTACGAACGCCAGAATGCATAAAATTGACCTAAACGTCTCCTTTTCCTATTCTGAGTCGATTCTGCATGCTTTAAGTGTGTTTGGTGGCTCAGAACCATCAAAAAACGTTGAAATATAGTTCAAATTCTATAAAAATCGACAAAAATACAGTTTCTAGCTAAAATTTGATGGTTTCGTTGCAATTTCCGAGCCCGTAGGGTATCTGATTGGCTTAAAAGTACAAGAAAACACTTCAAAAGTGACGTTTCTGAAGAATTTTAACAGTTTTCTTGTATCTACGAACGCCAGAATGCATAAAATTTACCTAAACTTCTCCTTTTCCTATTCTGAGTCGATTCTGCATGCTTTAAGTGTGTTTGGTGGCTCAGAACCATCAAAAAACGTTGAAATATAGTTCAAATTAAATAAAAATCGACAAAAGTACAGTTTCTAGCTAAAATTTGATGGTTTCGTTGCACTTTCCGAGCCCGTCGGGTATCTGATTGGCTTAAAAGTACAAGAAAACACTTCAAAAGTGACGTTTCTGAAGAATTTTAACAGTTTTCTTGTATCTACGAACGCCAGAATGCATAAAATTGACCTAAACGTCTCCTTTTCCTATTCTGAGTCGATTCTGCATGCTTTAAGTGTGTTTGGTGGCTCAGAACCATCAAAAAACGTTGAAATATAGTTCAAATTAAATAAAAATCGACAAAAGTACAGTTTCTAGCTAAAATTTGATGGTTTCGTTGCACTTTCCGAGCCCGTAGGGTATCTGATTGGCTTAAAAGTACAAGAAAACACTTCAAAAGTGACGTTTCTGAAGAATTTTAACAGTTTTCTTGTATCTACGAACGCCAGAATGCATAAAATTGACCTAAACGTCTCCTTTTCCTATTCTGAGTCGATTCTGCATGCTTTAAGTGTGTTTGGTGGCTCAGAACCATCAAAAAACGTTGAACTATAGTTCAAATTCAACAAAAATCGACAAAAATACAGTTTCTAGCTAAAATTTGATGGTTTCGTTGCACTTTCCGAGCCCGTAGGGTATCTGATTGGCTTAAAAGTACAAGAAAACACTTCAAAAGTGACGTTTCTGAAGAATTTTAACAGTTTTCTTGTATCTACGAACGCCAGAATGCATAAAATTGACCTAAACGTCTCCTTTTCCTATTCTGAGTCGATTCTGCATGCTTTAAGTGTGTTTGGTGGCTCAGAACCATCAAAAAACGTTGAAATATAGTTCAAATTCAATAAAAATCGACAAAAATACAGTTTCTAGCTAAAATTTGATGGTTTCGTTGCACTTTCCGAGCCCGTTGGGTATCTGATTGGCTTAAAAGTACAAGAAAACACTTCAAAAGTGACGTTTCTGAAGAATTTTAACAGTTTTCTTGTATCTACGAACGCCAGAATGCATAAAATTGACCTAAACGTCTCCTTTTCCTATTCTGAGTCGATTCTGCATGCTTTAAGTGTGTTTGGTGGCTCAGAACCATCAAAAAACGTTGAAATATAGTTCAAATTCTATAAAAATCGACAAAAATACAGTTTCTAGCTAAAATTTGATGGTTTCGTTGCACTTTCCGAGCCCGTAGGGTATCTGATTGGCTTAAAAGTACAAGAAAACACTTCAAAAGTGACGTTTCTGAAGAATTTTAACAGTTTTCTTGTATCTACGAACGCCAGAATGCATAAAATTGACCTAAACGTCTCCTTTTCCTATTCTGAGTCGATTCTGCATGCTTTAAGTGTGTTTGGTGGCTCAGAACCATCAAAAAACGTTGAAATATAGTTCAAATTCAATAAAAATCGACAAAAATACAGTTTCTAGCTAAAATTTGATGGTTTCGTTGCACTTTCCGAGCCCGTAGGGTATCTGATTGGCTTAAAAGTACAAGAAAACACTTCAAAAGTGACGTTTCTGAAGAATTTTAACAGTTTTCTTGTATCTACGAACGCCAGAATGCATAAAATTGACCTAAACGTCTCCTTTTCCTATTCTGACTCGATTCTGCATGCTTTAAGTGTGTTTGGTGGCTCAGAACCATCAAAAAACGTTGAAATATAGTTCAAATTCAATAAAAATCGACAAAAATACAGTTTCTAGCTAAAATTTGATGGTTTCGTTGCACTTTCCGAGCCCGTAGGGTATCTGATTG